TCGCTTCTCCCTTCCTCTTTCTGGGTTTCCCTCCTCCCTACTTCTCATCCCATTACAGGGCAGTGGGGCCAGGTCTTTGGGATGGGAAACAGGAACTGAGAAGTGGAAGATCAAGACATGGCGTGACTAAAGATAGCGATCATTTCACTCCCCCTTGAAAAGCCCAGGAATGGATCGTGGAATCTGGACGTATGCAAATGATGGCAAACCAACCCACCACCTCCACCACCCACCTTTTATCCACTCCTCTGGCCCATGGAAGAGTCTGAAACGACGCATTGGCTACACGAGGTGGCCTGGGTGGGTATGCCTGTGCTCCTGGTGAACATCAGATGCCAGCACAGTCGAGGTGGTGGGAGCCAGGGCAGCCATGCGGTCTGAGGAGATGGCCTCAGCAGCTTTCTGGTGAATGAGAGTGGACAGCATCCTTGGGATGGAAAGAGGAGCTCCGCATGGCTTTAGCTCTGGCCGAGGTTAGTGGAAAAGAGCTTAAATAAGGAAGCATGGAGGGGCGGGGCGTGGTGAGAGTAATTACTTTCCCGGAACATTAGAGAAGGCAGCAGCAGAAGTCCATTCAGCCCCTCTGCGCTCCTCCTGGCTCATGACGGAGGCTGTTATAAACAGAGGGCGGGGAAACACGGTTCTGGAAGCTTATCCCTCAATTTGCTGGAGCTCTCCTAGCCTTTCATTAGTTCAAAGCCAAATAAATGGACTTGGGCAAGTCACTTAAACTCTCTGAGTCAGTTTCTTCTACTTTAAATTGGCAGAGGGCCGGCCTGGTGGCGTGGGTGGTTGGGTGCGTGCCGTCCGCTCCGGCGGCCTGGGGTTCGCTGGTTCCAATCCCGGGTGCGCACCGACCCACCGCTTGGCGAGCCATGCTGTGGCGGCGTCCCATATAAAGTGGAGGAAGACGGGCACAGATGTTAGCCCAGGGCCAGTCTTCCTCAGCAAAAAAAGAGGAGGATTGGCAGATGTTAGCACAGGGCTGATCTTCCTCACACAATAAATAAATAAATAAATAAATAAATAAATAAATAAATAAATAAATAAATAAATAAATAAATAAATAAATAAATAAATAAATAAATAAATAAATAAATAAATTGGGGGAACTGATGGTGGTGTCACAAGATGTTGTAAATGTTGTGTAAGATGATGTTAAAGTGCTTTGTGGGATGTAAATTGGTATGTGATACTTGGGATTGTAGATGCCATCTTAGACTACATCTCTGCTGTCTTTGGAACTAAGAGTTATTTCTCTCAAATGCCACCCACCCTATCTGAGTAACACGGTGGTTGTTTGTTCCCTGGGAGCACTCTTAGAGCTTTGGAGACCATCCAGTCCCCCTCCCCTTAACAGTGTGGCCATTTGTTGGGGAGGGTTGACAGACCTTGGACTGCACTGGGCCGACACATGTGTGTGTCATACAGGTGTGAGAGGAGCAAGCTTGCGTAGAGGCCTTGCTGCACGCCAAGGAGTTTGTAGGGTGGGGGAGCAGGGGGCAGACTGACACCAGGTGCCTACCCGCTCCCCGTGCACTTCAGAACTGGGGTTCCACCCTCTGCTCCATTTAACCCTAAATGTTAAAGCTGAGAGGGGACAAGTGACTCCCCTCTGCTAAGTTGGCCCGGAGCACCCTGCACTGCCACTTGCTGTGTGGCCCTGCCTTTTTTCTCTGTTCCCCTTTGGGGAGTTGGAGAAACACAGCAGGAAAAGTTTGAAGAATTTAAATTTTGATGGAAAAAACTTATTAGTGGAAATGAAAGGCTAGCATGAGCTATGAAGATATTTTTTCCTTAGAGTTTTTTTTCTCATTATCATAGTCATTATCCGACCTGAAAATATTTATCCTATTGATTGGGACAGTACTGGGGTAATGGTTTCTGAACAGCTGCCTTAAGTGGCAGAGTGTAGATCCAGCCCCTCCGAGAACCAGAGGTCACTAATAATGGCTATCAATTATTGAATACCTACAATTTACCAAATACTGTATTTATTGGTGATGTTTTCATGTGTAGTAAGTATTATTATTCCCAATGTATAGATGAAGTCAGTGAAGTGAAGTAATTTTTCTGAGGCTGTGCTGCTACTAAGTGGAGCCTGATTTAGAACCGCATCTGTCTGACTTAAAAACCGGTGACTTTTTTTTCTTTTGTGAGGAAGATCAGCCCTGAGCTAACATCCATGCTAATCCTCCTCTTTTTGCTGAGGAAGACTGGCTCTGAGCTAACATCTATTGCCAATCCTCCTCCTTTTTTTTTTTGCCCCCCAAAGCCCCAGTAGATAGTTGTATGTCACAGTTGCACATCCTTCTAGTTGCTGTAGGTGGGACGCGGCCTCAGCATGGCTGGAGAAGCAGTGTGTCGGTGCACACCCGGGATCCGAACCTGGGCCACCAGTAGCGGAGCACGCGCACTTAACCACTAAGCCACGGGGCCGGCCCCAAAACCGGTGACTTTTAACCACTGCACTATCCTCTTAAAAGATCAGCATTCGGGGACCAGAACTAAGATCACATTCTTTTGGGTTCTTTTCTTTTTGATGTCTTCCTGTAGGTGACATTGTGGAGTTAGGGATGTGAGTATTAGAAAGGAATTAGGAGACTAGAATGGAATAGTGGTTTTTCCCATTTTCAATGCATGTATTGCTTCAAGTCTCTGGTCACAGTTACAAGATGTACTTTTTGAAAGAATACGTAAAACACCAATATGGCAGCCAGTTGACAGAAGAAAGGCCCCCATCGAGGGCCCAGTTGGAATGGTAGAGCCCGGTGTGCAAAAAGAGGTGAGGGGTGGGGACAGAACCCACAGAATGGATGTGGCGGTGTCTCTGGCAGGCCTCCAGAAGCAAAGTCCTGCTTAGTACTCCTTGTCTGCCTGTAGGGCTCAGAAAGAACAGCTCTCTCACGTCTCCTCTCCCCTGTTTATGTTACCGAAGTAGAGTTCATGTGGCTTGATCCTTGTTTCCTGGGGAAATCAGCCTGGCTTGTGATTACATTGTCTTCTGGGACTGGGACAGATGTGAAAGGCTGACCTCACTCCCAACCGAAGGTCGCCTTCCCAGCCTCTTCTCCTGCTGCTTCTGGATCCCCAGGCCTCAGGCGCCTGGTCCAAGGCAGTGGCCTCGCCCTTTCTCCTCCCACTTCCTTCAGTGATGTGTTGGCACCTTCTGGTATAATGTCCCTTATTTTGTCTGTGATTATTCTCCTGAGATAGCCCACTTCCTGCCTTGCATCTGAGCTCTTTTGTCAGTTGTGGGGGGCAGAGCTTGAGTAATGCGGTGTTGGAGGTATCAGGGGGACCCCAGGCCAGGCCCCCCTCCTGCCCCTGCACCTCCTCTGGGAACGGGGCACCAGGGCAGGAGTGCATTTCTTTGCTGCTGGTGTGTTGTAGCTGTCTTGCCAAAATTTGCCTTTTCCTTTTCAACTCCTCCCATCTCCCAGAAGCTTTTTTCCCCCTAAATAAAAATCAGGATGTGAAGCATTTTTATAAAGCTGGAGTTCACTATCGTCTGTTTCCGTTTCTTTAAATAGTGATCTAGTAAAGCCTGTGCTCGCTGCTGACGTCCCTGGCGATAGATTCATGGCGGTTCCTGTGGGTACTTTGTTCTTCAGACTCGATGAGCCTCAAGGCTCTCCTTTGTTAACATGGAGAGCCTGTGTTCCTTTCCCACTTAACGTTTTCATGTAGTGTGACACGGTCCACTTCAGTCATAGTGACAGCTGTTAAGAGTTTAATCATATGAATGCACTGTAGTTTGTGTGGTTATTCTCCTAGGTTGGGCATTTGGGGTTCCTTCCCCTTTTTTCTCTTTTAAAAGTCCTGCTGAGAAGATCGTGGTAGAAACAACTTGTGGGGAAAGGAGGGAAATACGTGGGAGCGTATTTCAACGACTGGAATAGAACAAAAGGGTAGGAACCGCTTTGGTGAGGCCCTTTGCTCCCTCTCGCAAGCCTGCATCTTGGAAGACTGGAGTGGGGAGCTGTGCCTTTGGCGGCATGTCAGGGTGCAGCATGGGACACCAGTGTTGTTTTGTGTTTCAAACCATCAGCCTTCTACCCAGGGCCTTTATTCTTTTGATTTGTATTTCTTTTTTTGCCCCTGGGACCTTCAAGGGTTTTCATGTTTTTTGAGTTCTCAGTTTCCTGGGGTCTAGCTTCTGATGGCCACTCATGGCCATGTCAGAGTGCTCCAGGCACGGCATTTCTGCTGGGTCAGGCTGGGTGAGTGTGACATTCCTTTTATTCCATAGAGCTGTTTTCTCTTTCATTATTGATTTTTAACCACACAAGTCCTATGGATGTATTCCTGTAGTAAATATTTCAAACAGTACGAAGAATGAGTCTCACTTCACAGACTTCTCTGTCTCCTCAGGTCACCACTATGATGGTTTCATGTATCATCTTCCAGGACTTTTTTCCGTGTATATATTTATATATGGAAACATGCAATTTTGAGTTTTTCTTTGTTGTTTAATCAGTTTCTTTGGCGTATTTTTGTACTCAAAGTTAAACAGGTCTTCAATACCCTACTTGATGTGAAAATAATTGAGAAAGGTAACAAAGTGTAGGATATTTTCATTTTCCTTAATTTTAAAAAATTTCAAGTATAATGTACTCATGTTAATGATAGTTTAAAAATAGAGAAACCCAAAAAGCCCTCCAGCTTTCCCTGAGACAGCAGTGATTATTTCCTTCCTGTACCTTTATATACACACGCACAGTTGATGTGTATAACACAACACTCGCTTGTCCTCTCTTGTTTATAACAGTTCACTTCTTGCTTTCACAGTGTTTTGTGTATGCGCTCAGTTGGTTTAATAAATAATCTTGTGCTTTCTGTCTTCCCAAGATGGAATTTTTAATAAACTCTGTTGCATTTGGATCTCTTGTAAAGCTGCTTTACTTGCTTTCTGTTTTCAGTCCCGTACACGTGCACATGGGTCATGGGTCAGCCGTGTGCACACGGGCTGGGGGTGCTGGCACCCCTTTCCCGGATGGATGGCCCCCCAGGTATGGATGCACCTGTTGCAAGTACCTGTGATTGAGAACATGGCCAAGGTCCAGGTGGTGGTTAGGGGTGAGGGGGTGGGCTGTCCTCTGAAGAGATGCTCACTGGGCTACCCTCTGATTCTGGCAGATAGGCATAGAATCAGACATTCTCAGGAATAAAAACAACGTGTAGGAGAAAAATGAAAGAAGGGTATCATTTCTCTTTGCCTGTCCTCAAGGGTTGCCTGCTTTAGGAGTTGGCAGACTTGGGTTCTGTTTTCACCTCTTTCTCCAGCTTGCTGACTTGTGCCTTCTGCTCTTGGATGGTTTAGGAATGGGAGGAGGGACTCTCTAAGCTCCTTTCACTCATCATTGTGTGTGACCAAAATGCTAGGCTAATAAATGACCGCTGTGAGTTCACTTTCATTTAGGCAACATTTCGGGCTCTTCTCCCAGACTCTAGTTGATCTTAATTTCTTTTCTATAAAAAATCTTTAAATTTACTTTTATTCATAGTCTATTATATATGTACATGAAGAACTATATTGTAATTTAAGGAATGATCATAAAGCAAACACTCAGCCATCACCTGTCCTTCCTGGTCACGGTCAGCATTCCAGGAACACTCGTGTGCCCTCCTGTCATAACTCTCAGAGGTAGCCACCATCCTGACTGTGCGATCTTCTTCTCCTTGCTTCTCTTGGTAGTTTTATCAACGATATATACATCCCTAAACAAGCAATAGAATCTAGTTTTTCGTATTTTTTTTTAACTTTTATGGTATTGTATTGCATGTATATTTTTGCAACTTGTTTTTTTTGGTTAACATTTTTGTAGAATTCATTTGTGTTCTGGGTAGGTAAAGTTTGTTCGTCTCCATTGCTGGGTAGCACTATATTATACGAATATACGACAGTTCATCCATGTTACCATTGACAGAGATTTGGGTTTGTCCAGTTTTTGGCTATTTTGAGGAGTGTCATGAACACCTTGTACATGTCTTCTGGTGCAGACATGTACATACTATGAGTAAGTTCAATTTTATTAGTACCAAAGTGTGCCCTCGTAGTTTGTCCTTATGCATACATGTTTTACACAGCTGTGATTTAGCTTGGATATTTATTTGATCTTAATTCTTCATGACACCTGCTATTCTCCAGGCCTCTGCTTTACTCCCAGAAGGAGGTAGATCCATTATTACTTTGGCTTTAAACTGAGCCTGCAGACCACAGTGTGTTACTGTGCTTCCCAGAAGCCTTCTGGAAATATTTGACACTGTCATTAATGCTCTGTGTTACGTCACAAGTAAAGTCAAATGTGTGATGATGCAAAGCTGCCATCTAAATGTTTGTATGACTCTTTCTTGGTGAAGCTACCTTTGGGGCACGGATCTGAGTGTTGTTTTATTTTGTATTTTCGTCTAGTGTCTTTCAAAAATGTTGTTTTCTCTCAGGTTGGCCTTTTGTAAAAGGAACAAGGGGAGATGAGATGGGACAGGAGAGTGGCACATGACTCCCAGGCAGGCCGAATGGGGGCAGCCTGTGGTCTGCCGTCCTCTTTTTCTCTCCAGAGCGGCGTCTTTGGGGTCCAAGAATGAAGCCAGCCCCTTCCTACTCTTGCTGGCTCGAGTTGAGACCTTAGGGTCCTGGGGACCAAACTGGTGCTGTGCCAGGAGGAGCAGGGGCCGGCAGATAGTGTTGGAGAAATGTTTGTGTGGATCCTCTAGGCCAGGGATCGGCAGACTCTGTGAAGGGCCAGATAGTAAATATTTTAGGCTTTGCGGGCGTAGAGGCAAAATTGAGGCTATTATGTAGGTACTTATACAATAAGAGAGAAAATAAATTTCCACAAACTTTTTATTAACAAAATTCAAAGTATAATGCTAATAATGGAGTATAGTTTTTTGGTAATGCAGGTCCACTAATGAGAAGAGTGGAATTCTTTCTGGGGGGATAATATTTCTCTTAATTGGAGTTCAAAGTTAGTATTCCTCACCTCATCATCACTTCAATTGGAAATGTTCATCTGTACAAATCCTTAGCTCGTGGCTGCATAAAAACAGGCTGAGGGCTGGGATTTGGCCTGCGGCCCAGAGGTGCCCAACCTGTGCTGCAGGCTCATCTCCTCAGATAGACTGTGGATTTGGCCCCCACAGTCCTGCATCAGGATGTAGATGCCTCCATGCCAGGATGGAGTTGTCCCTGTAGGGCTCTGGGAACAAAGACTAAGTCAGCCCTCTGAAGGGAGACGGGTGTGTCACGTGGTGACGTTTGTGCTAAGCCGATGGAAGGAAGAGGGAGAGGACCCCCTAGATGATACCAGTGGCTTATGGGACAGCCCTAGGGGATGGCACCCAGAGGGATCTGCAGGTACAGGGGAAAAGCATAAACAGGGTGGCACGTTAGAAATAGTTTGTTGAGTGTGGCTGGAGCTCTTGAGAAAGGTGACAAGACATGAGAAGTTGAATTTTTAATTTTATTACATGTTAATTAATTGTACCCTAAATATTCCTGTGTGGCTAGTGGCTGCAATATTGGACAGCACAGGTCTGAAAGGAAAAGAGGGAGCAGTCTTATGGTCTCCTCCCTGGGAGGGCTTTCCTTTCCAACGCTGCACGCTGTCCGGGGGCAGTAGCCACGGCTGGATGGGGCGGTGGGCTGAGGGGAGCTGCTTTCATGAATACATAAGAGCATGGCTATTAATATAACAGCCTGGGAGATCGAAAGAGATGCTTTTAGAGTGGTTGAGAACAGTTGTTTATTTTCCTCTGAAATATCTGTGACACATCCCTAAAGTCTTGTTTATGTGATAAATTTACTCTCTGAAACTTGTTTTTATGAACTAAAGGTCAGCTTTAGTCTAGCTCCTCAGAATTAATGAAGTCTGGCCAGACTTAAGCAGTTGTGCAGTTCCTACTTAGGTCTGTATTGGCTATTAGACTTTTGCGTATGTTTATAGTTTTTACACACAAATTCTGGCCAAAGTTGCAGCTCTTTTTCCTTCTGCTAAGCTTGGGTAGATTTTTTCTGGGAGGAGGAGAGTGTGGGTGAGTGCCTAATCCGGTTAGATATCTCAGCCTGATTGGTGGACACCTTTGGTTTCTTGAGTCTTTTAAGTTTTGTTATTTTTGTTGTTTTAAGATTCCAGTGCTGTTTTTATATATAGTTGACAGAAGAGTTTTTCTAGCACTCAGTCTTAATCATTCTGACTTCTCCTAACCAAGTTTAATCTTAATTACCTATAAATATGCACCATAATGAAGGGTGTGTTTTTGAGTGAGGAGGTAATTGCTTTTCCCTCTTGCAGTTTCAATTAAAAATTACCTCTAGTGCCTACCTTACCTTTATTTCCAATCTCTTCTTAACAAACTGTAGAAAGGCAGCAGTTATTGTTTATCCACTCCTTCCTGAGTTCAGGAAACAGTACATCCCCTTTAATAACAAAGGTAGAATTTCCATATAGTGGTATATATTTTTACAAGAGTTTTATACAGTAAATGACCAGGGAGGGGTGTGTCCCACAATATAATGTGGAAGGAAATATGTGTCAGAGTTCAATGGTGTTACAAAGCATATTTCATCTGAGATGGGCCTTCCACACTGAGGTATCTGACTACGTCCAGTTCCCATTTTTCTCAGCACATTTGTGGACAGAAGATGGCTCTGTCATCTGTGGGAGTGCCAGAAGCTGGAGAGCTAAAATCTAGTTGAGAGAGGCAGAATAGATCCCCCTGGCCACTCACTGACGTTTCCAGAGTGTCTGCTGCCCTGCATGGAGCCCCAAATGGCTTCCCAACTGTGGGTCCCCGCCAGGTCCCTCACCTTTGAGTAGCCTTTCCTGAATCCACTTCCTGTCTGCCCAGATTCATTGTTCTCACAGTGGCCTGAATGACCTTCAAGTACAGCTCTCACCTCCCCCTACTAAGAAGTCTTCGGTAGCTGCCTGTTGTCTCTGGGCTCAGCAGGGACACCGCCACCCGGATTTGAGCCCCTGCCAGTCCTTTTTGAGCCCTTGCCAGTCCTTCTAGTCTCATAGTCATTTACTGAGCTGCCAGGCTGTCTGTTGGGCACTGGGGACATGGTGATGAACAAGTTCCTGCCTTTAGAGGAGAGCATTAGAAAATGTAAAAAAGAAACAGTAAAATTAATTTTATTAATATCTTGTTTAAGCTAATATGTCCAAAATGTTGTTTTAACGTGGGGCACTAGCCGTATGTCGGTGCTCAGCAGACACATGTGGCTGGTAGGTTTCACACTGGACAGCACAGGTCTCAAGGCCGAGCTGGACAAGTGAAGCAGCAGGTCAGTGTACACGATACGTCCTGGCTTCTGGCTTTTGTCGTAGTTCGTCGGTGTTTATTTAGGGGATTGTCTTTTGCTAGATTGTAAACTCTGTGAAGGTATGGGCATTGCCCTGTTTTGCCCGCCATTGTATCTCTAATACCTAGCTTAGTACTTGGCATGTACTCAGTACTTTTCTCAGTACAGGTGCTTAGTACTTTTCTCAGATGAACTATTGAGTAAGCACGGGGTGCTGCAGGAAGAGCTGGGATGAGTACCCCCCCATCCGAGAAGGCTTCCAGGAGGAGGAGGTGTCTCTAAACCAACCTGCAGTCAGAGTTGAAGCTAATGCATCAAGAGGAGGGGGAGAGGACGCTGAGGAGACAAGAGGGTGTACAATGCTTGGAAGTAGAGAAGGAAGCAGTTGAGGGGGGAGCTACAGTAGTTCACAGTGACGGAAGCTTAGGTGCTGGTGAAAGTGAGAGGATGTCAAGAGATGAGGCAGGAGAAGTAACAGGGGCCCTATCATGAAAAGGTTTTAGAGCTGAGACGTCCTTCTGAGGACGTCAGGAAGCCTCACCAGCGACCTGGGCTGGGAGCGGCCCCTTGAACTTTTGTTGTGTGTTTCTCGCCTCACGCCTCCTAGCACATAGAAGGGGCTTAATAAGAGTATTATCTGACTCATGATGTTTCCATGTAGTCTAAACAGGTTGGTGTTGGTGTCTTCCGCTGTCTGTGGGAAGCTTTAGCAAGAGGAGCAGGTTTTCAATTTGAATGTGGGTCAGATACTGTTCGAACAATGCTGAAGACTGGGCAGGACCAAATTCTCTCGAAGTGCTAGACTGGATGTTGATTAGATCAAATGTGCGTTTTCCAATAATGGCTGTTCACCTGGGGATTGGGACCTTCCAGAGCTTTGGTGAGTGCGTTGAACATGTATCTTTGTATGTGAGAGCTGTACTTTCTGACACATGGCCAATAAAGCTTCAGGAGCTAGTGTTTCTGACACAGCCCTGAGCAAATCCTATCTTTTTGCTGGTACTGGCAAAGAAGTCAGTACATGCATTGCAGGATATTATTTGCTGGGTGGCAGATTGGAGAGTAAAAGTTGATGAGGCTTTGTGAGAGAGAGAGTTCAATAGTGATTTTCATGGGCTATTTATTGTTTCCAGATAGCTTTTGTTGTTTTAAGGGAAGGTCAGGAATGGATTAGAGATGACCTCCTAGGAAAATAAAAGTTAATTCTCTACAAGAAATTTTGATTCTCGGTATCAGTCCTTACCTTACCCTTCTCTACAATATAGCAGAAAATAATGCTTTTTTTATTATATCTTCTCTTTGTATTGTAACCATTCTGTCAAATGTCTGGTGCCTTGTGATCATTTTTCTATTTAAAATGATCAGCACCAATCACATCTGTTTTTAGCATCCAATAAAATAGTCATTGCTGCATTAGAAGTAGGACTTATGATGCTGGTACTGAAAATGGATTCAAAAGGTGATTCAGGAAGGAAGTCCAGAATCTATTTCTCTTGAGGTGGTATGCTCTGTTTAAGATGAGAGGTCATTGCAATATTTTATGATGAAAACTCACAATGAGTAATAACTTCTGTCATTACTGTGTACCAGATATGGGGCTGGGTGCTTCCCCTGCAGTTCTTCATTTAGTCTTTACAATAACCCTGTGATTGGTGTTGCTATCCCAGTTGACAAATGCTCTCTCCCTCCCGTCACAGCTAAAAGTGACACCCATTGCTCTTCTCTGGTGTTTAGTTGGGTTAAAAGGAAAGTTTACCCTTGTATCTATTGTGAAAGCAGAGCTATAATTGAATCTCCAGATTTGATTGAACAAATCAACAACAAATCATTGAACAAATATTGTGTAAGCATCTACTGTGTGTTAGGATTCTAAGTGCCATACACTACTACTGTGTCGTGGTTGGTCTATAAATATTTGTTGATATTAAACACATAAGTGTGTCTCTTTAGTCATTCTACCTCGCAAAGTAGGTATGGTTACTCCCAATTTCTGGAAGAGAAATCTGAGGCTTGGAGAAGAATAGGAACACGCCGTCTAATTCAGCAAACAAATAGATTCGTATTTGGGTCTTTCTGAATCTAGAATGGGTTTGCCTTCCCCTGAGTATCCATGCTGCCTCGGGCCAGGGCTGGTCTAGTGCTACAAGTGGGCTGTCTTGCGCGGGGGACATGGCACTCTGCCTCACCGCACACCAGCCACAACTCCTCCTGCTCACTGGCCTTTGCCTCTGTCAGGGGAAGGAGCACAGACACACGGGCGCTCCGGCGTATCCCAGGGCCTTGCTGGATCACAGAGAGAACAGAGACTTGATAGAAGTGGAGTTGGTCTGAGTCAATTCGTTTCACTGCTGAAGGCTGATGTCCAACAGGTGGTGTGAACAGAAGCATCTCACGTGCTTCAGGTGGATGAGGCACCTGAGGAGGCGGTGGCTTTCAGTGACTGCTCGATCCTCAGACCGCACTGAGGATTTGTCCCACAGAAGCAGCCCCAGTGGGGCCTAGGGAATGGCCCTCACGTGGCCACTCTCTGGTAGTCGTGCTCTAAGCTCAAACACCCATTTTAATTAATATATTCTCTATATTTCAGGCTTTGGACGTGGACCGGATGGTTCTTTACAAAATGAAGAAATCTGTGAAAGCAATAAATATCTCTGGGCTGGGTGAGTATGCGTTCTTTCCTAGGGCTTTCTTTGTGGAAAACGTTGTATTTGCAGTCCTGATGCCGTAGTATTGATCACCACTAATGAATAATCGTCCAAACTCCTTTTTCTGGGAGTGCAAATAATTCAGGTGAGTTTGGATGTTTAATTTTTAGAAGTGTGTTTCGTTGTGCTAATTGTCTGATTCTGGTGTGGGGGTTCGTCTTCCACCCGCCGCCCCCCCACCCCAATCCGTGTTGTGCTGCCTGTTCTCTGCAGTGCAGCTGAGTTCCCATGACAGCTCTGCATGAACCAGCTTTGTTAAAATGGTCGACGAAGATGCCAGACTCATTCCTGGACCAGTTGTTTTGCTGTTAATCATGTCAGAACGCTCTTTCCATTTCTCCCTGAGCCACATCTGGCCTTTCTTGTTTGGGAAGAAAATTAATAAATAGAAAAACATAATCAACTACTCAGTATTTGATCTAGACTTAGAAATAGGTTTAAAAAAAGAAAACACTGCAACTTTTGACTCAAACATGGTAGGCTGCACGTATGTGGCAGGTCTGCCCCCTGCACAAAACCTTACAAGTGATAGAAAGTATTCTTTAAAAGTCATTAAGTGACTGTATAGTTTCACTCAGAAACAAGAAAGTAGCAGCCTTGGGAGACTGGAAGTTGTGAGGAATCCTGGAGAGATTGTATCCGGGCTGATAGATTGCAGAGGAAAAGGCTGGCTGGTGGACAGCATACCACTGTGAAGATGGCAGAAACACCACGAATGCCTGAGAGTGATGGCCTGGGAGGAGGAGGGGCCCAGGGTCTACTCCCACAGAAGCAGTCAGGCACTTGATACGTGTCCCCTTCACCCTGCGATTGGAGCAGAAAGACAGGGAATGCCTTAGGTGGTCGTGATGTCAGGAGGGATGTGGAACATTCTGGAAGTACATGTCCCACCTAGCACCTCCCCCCTCCCCCAGGTAAAATAGTGTGAGCACAAGCTCCAATAGCTGCTTTTGCCTCTCCTCCAAGGAGAGCTGTGTAAGCCAAGAATTGTGAAGAGTCTAGTAGGAAATTTCAACTGCAGAGATGATATTACCATCAAGAATTGCCAAGTGTATTTAGAAGCAGATTTAACAAAAAATATACATGAACTCTATATTGAAAACTACAAAACACTGCTGACAGAAATGAAAGGAGACCTAAATAAATAGAGTAGTGTATGATGGATGTGGGTTGGAAGACTCAATATTGTTAAGATGTCAGTTCTTCCCGAATTGATGTCAAGATTCACCACAATCCTAATCAGAATTCCAGCAGAGGAAGTTGGCAAGCTGATTCTTAAATTTATATGGAAATACATAGAACCTAGATTATCCAAAGCAGTCTTGAAGAAAAATGAGAGAAAGACTATCTGACTTCAAGTCTTGTAAAACTTCAGTAATCAAGACTCTGTGGTACTGGTGTTAAGAGTCAGCAAATAGATCAGTGGAACAAAATACAGAGTCTAGAAACAGACCCACATGGAAATGTTTTTTTGATTTTCAGCAACGTTGCCAAGGCAATCCAATGGGGAAAGGAAAGTTTTCAACAGATGGTGCTGAAACAACTGAATATCCACATGGGAACAAATGAACCATGACCCTCTCTTACCTTACACAAAATTAACTTGAAATGGATCGTAGATTTAAATGTAAAAACTAAAACTGTAGAACTTCTTGAAGAACACATAGGAGAGTAAATCTTTGCAACCTGGGGTAGGCTAAGGTTTCTTAGATAGGACACAGAAAGCAATACACCTAGAAAAAAACTGATAAACTGGACTTCATCAAAATGAAAAACTTCTGCTCATTCAAAGATACTGTTAAGAATAATAGCCTAACATTTGAAGAGCCCCCAAATCAAGAAACTGAAGAACTCAGTACTTGAGGAGACCAAATTAATAGGACAATCAGAACAGGACTTTAATGTGAGAACGTATGATTAACATCCTTAAAGGGGCAAAGGAGGTTATTAAATTACTGAAATGGGAGAAGGTACTAGTGAAAAAGAACCAGTAAAAGGCTTGGAAATAAAAAATATGTAATTGTTGAAATAAAAACTAAAATTTGCTGAATTGCCAGATAGGAAGAGGCAATTAGTGAGGCCTCAAGTTGCCTGAACACAGCATGAGGAGTTAAAGGAGTGGACAGTGTAAAATAAAAAATACAAGCCACAGGAATAGATCCAGAGGAGTCAACAGCAGCACCCACCTAGAAGCAGTTTGAGAAGAGGGAAAAGAGAATGGAAAAGGGGAAATTTGGGAGAAATAGTAGCTGAAAAATTCCCAGAACTAAAGAAAGATTTAAGATCTCAGATTGAGAGTCCACTGAATTCTAAGCAGAACAAATTATATATGTATGTATATATACACACACACACACACACACAAACGTTTATATATGTGTGTACGTCTGTGTATATTTGGATGGGTGGATATATGTGCATATCTCAAGACATGTCCTATCTTGACATAAAGGATAAAGAAAAAATTTAAAAATTACCAAGGCGGGGGGCGGTAAGCAAATATATAGGAAAAAATATTTGGGGGAAATATGCTAAAAAATGATTATTTGAGAGTTTTGACTTTATAGATATCTTTCCCTTCTTTATTTTGTATGTTTTACATATTGTAATTGTACTGATGTTAAAATGATTAGACAGGTATTAAGTTGTTTATGATAAGTGCCAAATGAATGTGAAATAAGTTCAGGAAAGCCAAGAAGAGACGGGACTTAAGTTGTTCTTGACTGAGCTAGTTTCCAACTAAGTTTGAAAGCTTTTTGGACCTGGAGCTTGCGGTGCTGTGTGCCCTGGAGCCAATCACTTAGCATCTTTTAGCCCCGGTTTCCATGTTTCTAAAATAATCCTTTTAGGTTAGAATGCAGATCAGTGGTTCTCAGCCAGGGCAATTATGCCCCCCGACCTACACATTTGGCTATTAACAACTGAGGGGTGTGTGTGTGTGTAACACTATTGGCACCTAATGCTTAGAGGCCAGGGATGCTGCTGGAGATCCTATGATGCGCAGGACAGCCCCCAACAAAGAATTATCTGACTCTAAATATCAGTAATGCCAAGGTTGAGAAACTTTCATCTAGATGTTCTTCAAAATCCTCTACAATTTGTTAAAAATAAATAAGAAAACAAAAATCACCACCATTCCTAGCTTGCCAGTACATAAATATTGATTGATTCATTGCCTGACAACTACTGATTTTATGAAAGAAGGAAATAGAGTTGGTTTTCAGTGACTGACACCTAACTAGAAGTAAACAAATGTAGGGAAATCATTATTTTATTTTTATTTAAAAGTAATCAACAAAGAAAAGAGTATAAAACTCTTTCTACTTCATACAGCACTGAGATTTGTTGAAACAGGTGTTCGAATATCCGGAAACGTGGTCACCTGCCTCTAGCTCCTTTCCTGGGTGAAGTGAGGGGACAGGGAGGAATAATAATGGTTTTTATGTTCTTGAACACTTCCTGTGTACCTTCTGCTTTCTGTTCATTATGCTTGTCTTTACAACAAACTGTTCTCATTTTATAAACAAGGAGCCTGAGATTGGGGGTTAAAGGTGTTCCCAGGATGCTCCTGGAGCTAGGCTTCCTGCTGGTCCAGGGTTGTGTTCAGTGGCTGCTCTGCTGCGAGGCCCGCACATGTCTTCAGTGTGTCTGACGCACTGACTGACTGTGTTTGAGACTTCAAAAAATCACTCAGAGGTGGATGCTTGGTTTTGTTGATGAACATCGGATTTCAAAAAATATCTTGAGTTTTTGTTTTTGTTTTTTTACCTTGTTCACTTGGGCTTTTTGAGTTTATAATTTAAGGCTAGTATATAAAAGGGATATTTTATGTTCTGATCAGGTTCAAAAGTGATTTGAAAGTCATGTTGAGAAGGCTGTTCTGATCAAAAATAAAAATGAAGTAACGTGCTTCTCGTGCTGATGTTGGCTACGTGACGCAGCTGGTCTTGAGGAGGGCCTTGTGTGTCTCCTGAGGCTAGCCCCGAGCCAGCAGTGGAGCTTTTCAACAAACAAGCATCAGAAGGGAGAAGGTGTGAGCACTTTGGTGTCAGGAAGCTGGCCTTTATAACTTAACATCACTTGTGTCTGATGTGCCTTTCTGACCTGCACTGTGGAGCATGTGCCTCACTCCTCACCTGCCCGAGAGCATCTTCTACAGTGTGGCCCAGTGACGTCACTTCTCTGCCCAAAACGCGGAGTGTTTCTCTTTGTCCACATTGGTGTTCATGAAGGCGAGTTCCAGGGCCTGGGAGAGATGGGGAAGGCCTCTGTGGGCTCTAGAACTTCAGGAAAATTGGGGTAAAGCATAGGTAAACAGGTTTCTGTTCCAAAGCTTTTAATGTGCTAATGTGGGTTGTGCGAGGAATAGGTCTTAACCTTTTCCAGATATATTTGCCTATGAAACCGCCACTGCCTCCCTTAATCGCCCCCAACATCAGCATCAGGTTGGTAACCACTGCAGAATGCCAGAGGCAGCCCCAGCTCCTTACATCACCTGGACCCAGGCTACCTGTCCAGAGGTCCCTCCCAGCTCTTTGTGCCCTTCTTTGAAATAACTTGCAGTTTTCCCCGGAGTGCCACATTTTGTGCCTTCTCTGCACATGCTCTTCTGTCTACTTTGCCACCTTATCGGAGGAAACCGAGGCTTAACCAAGTTGAGAAGTTTGTTCTGGAATTTTAACATGGCTCTTTTGGCACCCAGCCTGTGTCCTTCTGAGGAACCGCAGATACAGCAGGCTGACCGTGAGCTGACCTTGCCGGGGGTCTCCTATTTTTGTCATCTTTTACCATCTATTATATTCTGCCAAGTTTGAGTTATTATAAGGCCATGAGTCTGAATTTTTTTTTTAAAGCCAGAATACTGATCCTGAAGTCTTGATTTCAGAACAAGTGTTGTCTGCTTCGAAAAGGTCACCTGAGGAAACCCTATACCTTTTCCTGTGATGTTGCTGACA